ACAGATGGGGAAAAGTTGGTCAAGTACCTTCCGCCTGGACTTCAGCAACCTAGTCTACTGCAAGATTTGCTTTTCATGTGAACTGAAAATAATTTATACTCTCCCCCCCCCTTTTTCTTGAATCATTGTAAATCACAAAGTTACAAAAATATTTATGTTTGAGTTTCAGATGTACATTATTCCAACACTAATCCCTTCACCGGTGTCCCCAGTTTTCCCTCCTGCACCCTAGTCTGCTTCTGTGGCTGGCACTCCCTCCCCTTGTCCTAGGGTTCCCTTCCATAACTTATCCTCTCCACCCCCACCTCTACCCCAGTGCCAAGCTTCCTACTGAAGACCAGTTCTCCTGCTCTTCGTCTCTATTGCCATTGGGCATTTTGATATTCCCCTAGTAAGTTTCTTATATCCCACATGTGAAGAGATCATTTTGAGTCTGTTTCTCTCCCTCTGGCTAATTTCACTCAACATGAAAATCTCCAGATCCACATCGCAGCAAGTTGCATGGCTTTACCTTTTTTTGCAGTCAAATAATATTCCCTTGGGTATATGTACCATAATTTCTTTTTGTTTAATAACAAATTAACATTTTATTTATATTAAATGCTCTATGTCTAATCAGGTATTTCTTTTTCTTACACCCTGAGAGATTTTTTATTATTATATTTTACTTATTATTTTATTCATTTTTTAAAATCGAATCACCATAAATACAGTTACAAGGTTGTTCATGGTTGGGTCTCAGTCATACAATGTTCCAATATTAAACCCTTCACCAGTGTACATTTCCCACCATCAATATCCCTACTTTCCCTCCCTCCCACCCTCATACAATAGTTCTTTATCCACTCATCTGTCCAGGAGAATTTGGGTTATTTCCATATTTAGGCTATTGTACATAGTGTTGCAATGAATACAGGAATGCCAATGTCTTTTCTGCATTGTGCTTTTAGGTTCTTGGGGTATATTTCCAGGGTATAATTGCTGGGTCATATGGAAGCTCAATTCCTAGCTTTTTGACGAATGTCCATATTCTCTTCCAAAAAGGCCGGAACAGTCACTATTCCCACCAGCTGTGTTTTCCCTTTCCCTCACCAACACTGGTTGTTTCTTTTGAGAAATTCCGGTCTCTGTGGTGTGAGTTGAGATCTCATTATGGTTTTGATTTGTATTTCCCTGATGATTAGTGATATAGAGCATTTTTCCATATGCTTTTTTGGCCATTTGTATTTCTTCTTTGAAGTTCCCGTTCATCACTTCTCCTCATTTTTGATAGGGTTGGATGTTTTTTTTTTGTAGAGTTCTACCAGTGCTTTATATATCTTGGATATTAACCCCTTTGTTGGATGAATGGTGGTCAAATAATACCTCCCAGTCTGTGAGCTGTCTTTGTATTCTGGTCATCATTTTCTTTGAGGTACAGAAACTTCTTAGTTTAATGTAGTCTCATTTGTTTATCTTTGCTTCTACTTGCTTGGTCAGTGGTGTTTCATCCTTAAGGATGCCTCTAACCGCAATGTCATGGAGAGTTCTGCTTGTATTTTCCTCTATATAACTCGTGGATTCAGATCTGATATCTAGGTCTTTAACCCACTTTTTTGCAGTATTTATTTATTTAGAAACAGTTTCAATTAAATCGCGGTGAGATACACAGTTACAAAGCTGTTCATGATTGGGTTTCAGTTATATAATGTAACAACACCTCTCCCTTCACCAGTATACATTTCCCACCACCAATGTCCCCAGTTTCCCTCCTACCACCCCCCGCACTACCTACCTCTATGTCAGGCACTTTTCTTCTCTGTCTCTGTTGTCTCTTTCTGTCTCTCTATTTCTCTGTTTCTCTGTCTGTCTGCCTCTGTCTCTCTCTGTCTCTCTCCTCTCTCTCTCTCTCTCTCTCTCTCTCTCTCTCTCTCTCTCTCTCTCTCTCTCTCCCCCTCCTCCCCACTTTGGGCATTGTGGTTTACAGTACAGATACTGAAAGGTTATATATATCCCTTAACCTACTTTCAACACTTTCAGTTCTTGTCCAAAGCGATCATTTCCAATTATAATTGTCATATTGGTCCCTTTTCTACCCTGATTGCCTTCCCCTCCCACACACTTGTGGCAAACTTCCAACCATTGACCAGTCCTAGCCCCTATTTTCCCTGGCCTTGGATATTAATCTCATACTATTTTTTAATATCCCACAAATGAATGCAGTCATTCTCTATCTGTCCCTCTCCTGATTCATTTCACTCTCCATGTCCAACTATTTTAAACAAATTTCATGACTTTATTTTTCCTAACAGCCTTTTGCAGTATCTAAATGCTTCAGTGAAATGAGCTGAGGAACTACCTCAAGTAGCTGGAGCACATGCTTGCATTCTGGAGCCCAGAATTTGATGCTGGTACTTCACGGTCCCTGAGCCCCACCAAAAGTGACCCTAGAGCACTGAGGCAAGAGTAGCCCTCAAAAATTACTTGATGTGACTCAATAAATAAAAACCAAAATAAAAATAAACCTCAAGTTTGCAATGAAAGGAGCTCTATTCAAAAACACTATTTTACCAAGCATTTTTATTAAAAGGCAGAAAAAGCTCTCTAATAAAAGATAAATGAAAAATTAGGTGTGTCTCACCTAATTATTTGGTATTGAAAAGCCAAAGATTTATATGAATTCAAACTGGTTGTGATTGTTAATTATAATTCTTGATGTGATATAGCCTACTTTCAATTACTAATGTTAATGAACACATCATTGAAGAATATATGTTTCCAAGGTTCTAATCAGTCCAATTTTTGTCTGGTGTTTGTTTTTGTTTTGGGGTTACCCATGGTACTCGAGAGTTGCTCTGGGCATGTGTGCAACTCTCCGCACTGTCTCTCCAACACTGTCAGTCTGGCTTCAGGTCGATCCCTAGGCCAGTCCTGGTCTAGTGCTCAGGGTTGGCTCCTGATTTGCAATGGAGACCATGCAGTGCTGGGGGTCGAACCTGGAGCTCCAGCATGCAAAGATTGTGTTCCAGTCCACTGAGCTATGTCCTTGGCCTTCATCCATCTGGAATTGTTTTTATTATTTGTTTAGGGACCACACTGGGCTGTTACTTCTGGCTCTGTGTTTAGGGATAACGCCTGGAGGTGTTCAAAGGACCACATAGCCAGGGCAGCACCTTGCCAGTTATACTATCTCTTTGGCCATCAACATGGCTTTTAAGATTAGGTTTCATGGGGAAAAAGATCTAATGACTAATACATAAGAAAATGGATTTTTATTTGAGACAAAATATTCTTGCAACAATCCAAATGGTAAATAAAATTAAGGAACCTTATAAATTTAAGTGTTGTGAAATAAAACCAATAGAGGTGATAGTGATTTTTTAAAAATCAAATCTTCCTTGCATTTCTTTAACTATTCTATTCTTATGTTTCATTGCTTGATTCACACTTCTTATACTTATTTGCCTCTTTTTATCCTTTTATTTATTTGTTGTTGTTTTGGGGCCACACCCGGTGATCTTCAGGGGTTACTCCTGACTCTACATGCAGGAATCACGTCTGGCGGTGCTCAGGTACCATATGGGATGCCGGGAATGGAACCCAGGTTGGCCACATGCAAGGCAAGTGCCTTACCTGCTGTACTATCTCTCCAGTCCCCGTTTTAATCCCTTTAATAGTTAAGTCTCAATTAGTAGTATCAATAGATTCAGGGAGTATTTAAAAGTGTATGAATACACTTTGAAAAATAGGGGCCTCAGCCGCACATGCTGAGGGAGAAGGCAGCTCAGATAGAGAGGGGAGCACCGAGTAAAGAGTGTTGGGTGGGACTCTCCCAGGATGAGAGATACAGGCTGAAAATAGACTATAGACCGAACATGATAGCCACTCAATGCCTCTTTTGCAAACCACAGCACCCAAAAGGAGAGAGAACAAAAGGGAATGCCCTGCCACAGGGGTGGGGTGGGATGGGGGATTGGTGGGTAGGAGGGATTCCGGGAGCATTGGAGGTGGGGAATGGGCACTGGTGGAGGGATGGGTACTCAATCATTGTATAACTGAAACCCAAGCACAAAAATCTGTAAGTCTACAACTGTACCTCATGGTATTTCACTAATAAAAATTTTTTGAAAAAAGAAAAATAGGGGCCTCTCTCAGTGGTGCTCAAAGCAACCCCACTATGATTTGACTTTTGTGCATGGCATTAGAAAGAGGTCTGAGTTCTTTTTTTTTTTTTTGCATGTGGCAGAACAGTTTTCCCAACACCTTAATAAAGAGAATTTCCTTGCTCCATTTTATATTTTTTGCTTCTTTATTAAGGATTAACTGACCATATACCCGAGGGTCTGTCTTTGCGTTTTCTATTTAGAGTTCAAAATTTCATGGGGCCAAGTCTGCAACATCCGGGATTCAGTACTTGGGGTGTCACTGTCCTACCGTTGTTAATCGATTTTCTCGAGCAGGCCCAGTAACGTCTCCATTTTTTGAGACTTTATTGTTACCGTGTTTGGCATACCGAATATGTCACTGGTAGCTTGCCTGGCTTTGCTGTGCTGGCGAGATACTCTCGGTAGCTTGCAGGGCTCTTCTAGAGGGGTGGAGGAATCGAACTCGGGTCGGCCATGTTGGCTGCGTGCAAGGCAAACGCCCTACCCGCTGTGCTATCGCTCCAGCCCTACTTGGGGTGAGCTTTTTAAATAGTCCCCTGATCTGTGCATATCTGTGGCTCTAGTGTTTGTGCCTAAAAGAACATACAGGAATCTAATCTTCTCCTAATATAGGCCATAGTTTGGCATTGTGTACCCAAGGCAGGTGCCGTGTTCTACCCTAATTCTTAAAGCCAATTTCCTGTTCAAACACCATGCCACCATTCCTAGAGCTTGATTGGAATGTACTTTAAAAGAATAATTCATAAAAATATCCAGCTTGGGGAAAATGATGAAAATTCCCACCCTTCCACTATTTTTTAAAAATCTGTTCTTACTGAATTCAGAGGGAAATGATGCCAACTGTGTTTGTATAGATATAGATGTCTGTGGAAACATGCAGAAGAACTGTGCTGTCTCAACAGTCGGTTGGAACACAGATGGCTCAAGTCATCACCACCCAAACATAACAACTTTATACAATTTGAATCCAACTCAGCCACTATTTGGTGAGCATCTACTATATGTCAGCTGCCTCAGGGTAAGACTGTAGGCATTATTCTATTTCAGAAACCTCTAGACAGACTCAAATGAGTTCTTATTAGTGAAGTCTCAATTTTTTCAAAATCAAACTCTCTTACTAGTGTTAGCATCCATTATATTAATTGGCAACTGATATGTCAGGATCTGTTGAGGAAGTTATAAACTCTTAATCCAAAACACTGACGGTAAGATGGGAATGAAGTCTGCAGGACCTTCAAAAAAGTTTCTCTGGGCACATTCATCATGTTGGAGATTTGCCTGCATCTCAGCTTGAGAAATGTACTCTCCGCTCTCTCCCTTTGGAGAAGTCCATGTTTTCTCTTAAGCGTGTAACTTGTTCTCTACCTCTCATTTCTCTAAATAAAGCTATTTTTACTTGTCTCTCTCTCACACACATGCATACTCAGAAACAAAATTATTTTGGGTGGCATTAGATGAGAGGAATAAACCAGGTCTCTAAACTGAGGTGCAGGCGATTTGGTCTCCTTGGGATGCCATTCTGCTTTATCAAGTCAGCTTCAGAGATTTCATTTCTAATCATGGTGTTTTTTCACTTTGGGGCCATATCTAGGGGTGTTCAGGGCTTACACTTGGCTCTGTGCTCAGAGATCATTTCTGGTGGGGATTGGGGAACCATATAGGGTGCTGGGGATCTAACCTGGGTGGGTCATGTGCAAGGCATGTGCTCTACCTATTGTGCTATTGTACTTTTTTTCTTCTATTTCTCTAGATAAGAAAATATATTTCTCTCCAGTTTGTGAAACTATCTCTACTGGCTATGCAGATGAAAGTAAGTATCTGGTTCCACCTTTGAGTGTGTCTTGGCTATTATGGGGGGAGGGGGTCGCAATCAGCTATACTCAGGGCTTCCTCCTGGCTCTGAAATCAGGAATCACTCCTGGAGGGAACCGGGGAACCATATGGGATCTGGGGATTGAACCCTGCTGCCCTATCTCTCTGGCCCTGAGAGTTGTGTCTTTGTATCCTGCTAACAGGATACAAAGAGCAGCCTTGTAGCCTAAAAATCAGAACCTCCAGCCACTGGGAAGAACTCCATTTCCATGACTATCTTCATCATTAGAATTTGTTTCACTTTAATCTCAAAGACCCCCCGTGCACTTGGTACCTTGCCAATTTTTTCCTTGTTTCTCTGCAGGAACATTTTTATTGAATTAGTGTGGGCAATAGCTGACTCCAAGGTAGTGACAAGTCATGAGAGAGGGGAATAACATGAATAAAGGGAACAAAGTCACCTTGGAAGCTCGAATCACCTGGAGCACTGGCACTGTTTTTTTTAATCATCATTCGCAGCTGGGGAAATTGAGCTTCAGGGATTTAAATAAGTTGGCCCAAGTCAAAGTGAGCAGGTAAGAGTCTGAGTCCATTTTCACTGATTTCAGACTCTTGGCTTTTCTTTCCAGCCAAACCAACCTGCAACAGGACCACGGTCTCACTCAAATCGGCTGCATACAAAGACAAATCTCTGTTGGAGCCAGAGAGATAGTACAGTGGATAGGGCATTTGCCTTACACATGACAATCCTGAGCACCACCCTGTGTGGCCCCCCAAACAGAAAAGACAAGAGCTCTCTTTCTTTGAGCATGCATTTGTGGCAATCCCTGTTCCTAACGACTTGACACGAGTTTCATTGAGCCCTTGCTAGAATCTTATGAGGCCGAGGTGTGATTCATATCCACATTTAACAGAAGAGAGTGGGCCTCAGATCAGCTAAATCACTTGCCTGAGGTCACACAGCACCTAGGCAGGGTGATGATAAGGATCAAATCTTGGACTCCTGGGTTCTAGATCAAGCTTCCTCCTCCTTGTGCTTCTCTTTTTCAGAAAGCCAGATTCCGGAGACGAGCAAGGATTTCTATTATTGAACTTCAGTTCAAAGATGAGACTTCCTTTATTCCAGCCCTGCTCACGATTTTTGACTGAATTCGAAGGGTCCAGAGATATCACCATGCTTTTCTGTCTCTGCCACTAAAGTGTACTGAGTCAAGCGGGTGCCTGTTCTCCCTGATTGTACACGTTGTTCCTTGACACCTTAGGCCTACAGCAGGAGTTTGCAGATGTGTTAGGTGAATCTCCAGGATAGTAAACAACACTGTTAGTTGTTCTGGGATGGGGAGTCGAGGCACTGTCCTGCTCATCACCACCCTCCTCACACTGCCCCCAGTGCCCTCCTTAGAAATCACCACCTTCCCACCCTCTTCCACTGGTAGGCTCTTTCTGTTTGAAAACGCATTTGCAAATCCAATTCCTTGATTTCCCATTGGTGTGACAGGGTCTTTTCAAAGCAAGACCGACCACATGTGTTATCCTCGGGTTGTCTTGCTTTGCCAACACTAATTGCCTGAAACTTTCTAGCTGTAACTAGACTGTGGCCAGCTTCACCCTTCCCCAAGCCAAATGAAAGCTGGGTGGGCCAGACTGCCCGAGAACGGGTCAAGGCTGTAGGTGATTGTTTTCTCCATCTTCCAAGTCTGGAATGAAATGGAGTAAGTCTCAGGCTGGTCCTGATGAAAGAAATCAATTCACTTGCTTAACAAGATTCCTCCCTCCTAGAAAATGGACCTCGGAGGAATGGCTGAGAAAGCTGAGAAAGCTGAGAACACATTTAGCAGAAGTTTGTTGAGGCATTCTAGCTAGCTGGCACATTGTCAGAGGAGAGGTCCAGAAAATGGTCTGTAACCGGAGCATTTCTTTAGCTGCCAATATGTGTTGCAGATTGGCCTCTCTGAAGATGAGAATACTGACATGCCACCAGTGTCCGCGATGGCCTTGGTGACACCTTTTGGCCTTCCACAGGGACCCACCTGATTCTTATTGACAACAAAACATTAGCTTTTGCACTGTTAGGGACTCTTGGGAATAGTAACTTGCTTTTCCACACAGACCGATTGGCTTGTCTCTCCTGCCTCGTGATATCTGTAACATCTTCGATGAGTTGGAGGTGAAAGGCAAGACGTGGTCCAAGACCTAGGAGGAGGGACTCTCTTGTAGATTGTTCTGGATAAAATGACGGATTTCTCCTCCTCCTCCTCCTCCTCCTCCTCCTTAATCCCATTTGGCCCACTGCTCTGCGTTCAGTGTTCTTGAGCTTGCTCTTTGCCCTGTGACAACTGTGAAATTTCCGCTATCAGTATTCCCCCATCCTCACTTCCCCTTGCTCTCTTGTAGCAGCTCAGAGAGTGAACAATAATAAAACTTGGTTTGGGATTGTACTAGATTCAAGTTCTTTCTCGTTCGCGATCTCATGGAAACTTCTTAGCAATCTTATGATTGGCATTTTGGGGTGGGTGGGGATGGGGCCAGCATACCCCTGAGTGGGAGGTACTCCAGCAGAGCATAGCACAGCAGTAGGGCATTTGTCTTGCGCGCAGCCAGCCTGGCCGAGCCGGGTTCAATTCCTCCACCCCTCTCGGAGAGACCAGCAAGCTACCGAGAGTATCTCACTCGCAAAGTATATGCCAAACACAGTAATAACAAGTCTCAAAATGGAGATGTTACTGGGCCCGCTCGAGCAAATCGATGAATAGCGGGAGGACAGTGTGGACAGTGGGAGGTACTCAGGGTACCTTGAAGTTCCAAAGGATGGAAGGAACCCAGGCCGCACACATTCAGAGCATGTACTCCAGGTCTTTGAGCTATCTCGAAGGCCCTGGGATTGGCATCATCACGTAAAACACATGGAACCTGAGGCTCAGTTGTGATAAATGAGCTTCACAAGATTACAGTTGGGGCTGGAGTGATAGGTCAATGGGTAGACCGCTGGCATTGCACATGGGGATCCGGGGTTTGACCCCAGAACCCCATATATCGTCCCTGAGTCCACCAGGAATGATTCTCTGAGCTCAGAACCAGGAGTAAAACCTGAGCACCGCTGTATGCAGCCCCCAAAAGAAACCAAAAAAAAAAAAAAACAAGATCACACAAACACAGTTGCTTGCAGAGTGTTCTGAGATGCAAGTCTCAAATGGCTGGCTCAGCACAAAACACCAGGATGGTGTTGAGGTACTTTCCCCTCCCATCTGCTATGAAATGCCAGCTGAGGCTTTAAAGGCAATTTGTCCAGCCGCATGTTGTTTCAGAGTAGTAGAGGAAAAATTACTTAGCCTCAGTACATTTCTTTTCTTTAAAACACCATCTCCTTCAGGTGATTGTTGGAGAAATTCAGGGTAAAGTCTGATTTCCAGCCTTTGTGAAGCTTAATTATACAAGTGTGTTTATCTTGGCTGCCTCTAAAGATTCATTCTTGTTAGAAAACAACATAGATAATCAGAACTGAACTCGTACTATGTTAATTTACGGGAGAAGAAATGATTCCAAGAGAGATGAAATTTTCTTGCAAATCTTTGGCTCAGCAGTGCACTCTTAAATAAAGCTGTAAGTAATCATCAGTTTTCCCACTTGATTAAAGAGAAATGCTCTGTGCCTCAGAGAGAGGCCCCCTTCCTTAACAGTCTTAGGGAAAAATCCTGGTCCAGAGCAATTTTAAAGCCCAGAGTGAGATTTCTGGCTTTCTATTTTCATTCTTTATTTGCTCAGATTCCCGTCTCACTTCTCAAAAGCTAACTTGAAATGCATTTCTTTTTTATTTTATGTTACTTGGGCTTTTCATTCTTGCTCTTAACCACCACCCCTCCCCACATAGATCTCACATAAGTGGGTTAACTATCCCATTTCCCATGTGTTTTCTTTTTCTTTTTGGATTTTGGGCCACACCTGGTGGTACTCAGGGTTTACTCCTGGTTCTGTACTTAGCGATCACTTATTCCTAGTGGGCTCAGGGGATCATATGCAGTTCCAGGGTTTGAACGCAGGCCAGCCACGTATAAGGCAAGTACCCACCTGCTGTAATATTGCTCCAGCTCCTGTGTTTTCTTATGTGGCTCCTACTATGGTCCTGTCCTCCCATTGTTCATCGATTTGATCGAGCGGGCCCAGTAACATCTCTATTTTGAGACTTGTTGTTACTGTGTTTGGCATATTGAATACATTATGGGTAGCTTGCCAGGCTTTGCCGCATGGGCGAGGTACTCTCAAAAAAAAAAAAAAACCAAACTATGGTCCTAGTCGATAATTTAAATTTTTTATATTAAACAATCTTAAAAATCAAACAACCATGATTTACATAGTTATTCTTAGTAGAGTTTCATGTGTACAATACCATTACCACCACCAGTGTGGACTTCCCTCCATCAGTGCCCCCAGGTTCCCTCCTATGTTTCGAGTTTTGTTGTAGTTTGGGTCTCATGCTTAAAGTGTTGTTGGCTCAGTAGTTTATCTAGATCTAGATCTAAATCTAGATATCACTGTCACTGTCCTGTTCTTCATGGATTTGCTTGAGCGGGCCCAGTAACATTGTGAGACTTGTTGTTACTGTTTTTGGCATATCGAATAAGTCACGGATAGCTTGCCAGGCTTTGCCTTGAGGGCAAGATACTCTCGGTAGATTTCCAGTCTCTCTGAGAGGGGCGGAGGAATTGAACTCGGGTCAGCCAGGTCGGCCGCATTCAAGGCAAATGCCCTACCCGCTGTGCTATCTCACATCTACACCACCAAATTTTCCCGAGGCTTCTGATCCCTGCCCTTGTTCTCTCATGCCCATCTCTTCTTACTGGCCCACCAGTTTTTTTCTTTACCTGTTCTCATCTCTGTACCCTAGATTCAAGGGTAATCTGGGTATTCCCAGCCCCCTTTGCTACCTTGCATTCCCTCCTCCTATTATTCTATATACAACAGATAAGTGAGATCATCCAGTATTTGTCCTTCTTCTGACTCACTTCACTCAACATGATATCCTCAGTTCCACCCAAGTTGTAGTGAATTACATGGTCCCATTATTTTTTGCAGCTGTATAGTATTCCATTGTATACATATAAAACACATCTTCATTATCCATTTATCTATCACTGGACACTGAGGTTCATTCCATATCTTAGTTATTGCACTCAGTGTTTTAATGAGTAATCATGTGTATATATTCCTTTGAATGAATGTGTGTCCTGAGGGTATACACAAGAAGTGGAATTGCTGGGTTGTATGGCTACTCTATTCTTACTTTTTCAGTGAAGCCTCCATACGACTTTCCATAGGGGCTGAACTAGGCAACATTCCCACCAGCAGTGGATGAGGATTGCCTTCTCATCATATCTCCATGAACACAGATGGCTCCCCGCTTTTTGGATATGTGCCAACATCATCCTAGTTGATAATCTTTTGGGTTGCCATGATCTGAGGAGGTGGAATTAGCAGATCGATGTCTGAAACTGCAAAGTTGGGGCCCCATTGACATCACTCACATCTTTCTTCAATTTTGAGAAATTCACAAATGACCTGATTTCTGCCCCTCACCCAAACACTTCTACACCTCACCCAAACACATGCCCATTTCTTTTGAAAAAAAAATTTTTTTTCATTGAATCACAGTGAGATAGAGAGTTGCAAGTTTGTTCATGACTGGATTTCAGTTATATAATATTCCAACACCCATTCCCTCACCATTGTATATTTTCCCCCACCGATATTCCCAGTTTCCTTTTTCCTTCCCACCCCCCTCCCTCACCTCTATGGCAGGCACCTCTCTCTCTCTCTCTCTCCTTTTGAAAAACATACCCATTTCTAACCTTCACAATCAGGACTAGTGGGAACTGCTTCAAATGGGCTGAGAACTCACAGTTTTAAGTGATGTCTGCCCATCCGGAAAAAAAGCAACAGCAGAAAGTAACAATTCTCTTCTGCCAGCAAAGGTTAGTTAAGAATTTCAAATTGAAATGTCATTTGCAGAGCCATTTGAGTCTTGTGCTTAAGCACTTTTCTACAAATAAATGCGAGCTGGAATATAGCAGTTATTCTACCCTCCCCCCATCCCAAACATATAAAAATCTTTTCCCTTGGCAGAGTTGTTTCTTTAGTTTGGCATAAGAGATTGAAAATTGGACTGGGAAGATGATCATTTAAACAGCTAGTATGCAGGCTTTGCATGCAGGAAGTTCGGTCCCATCCCTGGCACTATGTGTTCCCTTGAGCACCACCAGGCACAGAGCCGGGAGTAGCTCATAAGCATTTTGGGTGTGGCCCCAAACAGGAAATCA